GTGTGTGTGTGTGTGTGTGTGTGTGTGTGTGTGTGTGTGTGTGTGTGACAGAGAGAGAGAGGAGGAGAGAGAGAGAGAGAGAGAGAAATGGGGTCTCTGTTATCCAGGCTAGACTACAGTGTTGTGATCATGTTGAATTTAATAGTGTACCACAGCCTCAAACTCCTGGGCTAAGGAGATCCCCCTGCCTCAGCCTTTCAATTAGCTGGAGCTACAGGCACACAGCACCGTGATCAGTTAGTTTTTTATTTTTTGTGGAGATGGGGTCTCAGTATGTTGCCCAGGCTGCTCTGAAACTCCTGGCCTCCAGTGATCCTTCCACGTCAGCCTCCCAAAGTGCTGAGATTACAGGCATGAGCCACCTCCCCCAGCCTATATATTAATGTAAATGAAATAAATTTTAACTAAAGTTCCAAGGTTTTTGTTTATACTGCATTATAACATGACCTTTTGCTTACTGATATTCTATGAACGTTTTTTCATGTCATTTCGTCATTTTTGTTGCATGACTTTTACTGATGATCATGCAGTATTTCCTACTACATATATAATTATATACTTTATTTAACTAATACCTAATTCTGAAAATGTCATGTTTCTTCTGGCAGTTTAGAATTTTGAACGAACAAGGCAAACCTAAGTCAACTCCATGCACTATTTTTATTCCTTTGAGGAAATTTGTAGCATTCAAATTGTTTAGATCACTGTGTATAAGTACTATGTTTTTTTGAGACAGAGTCCCATTGTGTCGCCAGGCTCCAGGCTGGAGTGCAGTGGTGTGATCTCGGCTCACTGCAACTTCCATCTCCCGGGTTCAAGCAGTTCTCCTGCCTCAGTTTCCAGAGTAGCTGGGACTACAGGCACGCGCCACCACACCCAGCTAATTTTTGTGTTTTAGGAGAGACGGGGTTTCCCCATGTTGGCCAGGATGGTCTTGATCTCTTGCCCTTGTGATCTGCCCACCTCAGCCTCCCAAAGTGCCGAGATTACAGGCGTGAGCCGTCCCGCCCCGCCGTGTATGAGTATTTTTATAGCTTTTGACCTGGTTGTTAGTTTGCTGCAGAATTTTACGAATTTATTCTGATGCCAGGGGTCTGTGCAAATGTGCCTGTCTTCACGCCGCCTCCAATATTAGGTATTACCTAGGGAAGCTTTGCAAACACTGTGGAGTGCGATGGCAGCTTTGTCCCTGTTCCATGACTTTACTTCTAAAATTAAAAAAAAAAAAAAATGCGTCAGTTGGCTGTGGATACTTCATTTGTGTATTGTATGCTTTGCCTTTTATTCTTATATTCTGGTATGACATTATTGATGTATAAGCCTTCTTCATTTATTTTTTATTTATTTATTTTTTTTTATTGAGACGGAGTTTCACTCTTGTTACCCAGGCTGGAGTGCAATGGCGCGATCTCGGCTCACCGCAACCTCCGCCTCCTGGGTTCAGGCAATTCTCCTGCCTCAGCCTCCTGAGTAGCTGGGATTACAGGCACGCACCACCATGCCCAGCTAATTTTTTGTATTTTTAGTAGAGACGGGGTTTCACCATGTTGACCAGGATGGTCTCGATCTCTTGACCTCGTGATCCACCCGCCTCAGCCTCCCAAAGTGCTGGGATGACAGGCTTGAGCCACCGCGCCCGGCGCCTTCTTCATTTATTTACGGATGTTAAATATTGCAGCATGCAATGTTATGCTCATGTTTTTCCACTTTATTTATGTTTTGTTTTGTTTTGAGACTGAGCTTCGCTCTTGTTGCCCAGGCCAGAGTGCAATGGCATAATCTCGGCTCACTGAAACCTCCATCTCTCGGGTTGAAGTGATTCTCCTGCCTCAGCCTCTCGAGTAGCCGGGATTACATGTGCCTGTCACCACACCCGGCTAATTTTTGTATTCTTAGTAGAGACAGGGTTTCACCGTGTTGCTGAACAGCTGGTTTTTATGAGTTTTTCCTTTATTCTGAGACGCGAAGAGCTGTGGAGGAGTTCTGGGTTGACAGATGATTCTTTATTTTCCTTCCTAGGAGGCTTTTCAGATGCTGATCTGGCAGATGGTGTTCCTGGTGGAGAAGGTAGAGTTACCCTGTTTCCTGTGTCTTTCCTCTCTCCATCCCATGATGCCCACCTTCTCTACAGAATCACTGCAGGGTCTACACTCTCAGCCCTCCATGAACTCACAGTGAAATGTTTGGCCATCTCTCTGGGAACTCTGCCCGTTCGCTGAGGCTTCAAGGCTGTGGGAAGTAAAGGCTGCCCTGCAGAGGTTCGGTCCCTGGAAGAAGAGCTCAGGGCTCTGGCAGCTGCCCCACTTTCCTGAGGGACAGGGCCAGTTGAATGGACCCTTCTCGCCACCTCCTCACCCCTCCGTTCACCTGTGTTCTTGCAAGTAGCTAGTGTGCTTTCAGCTTTATTAGGTTGTTTTCTGTAATTTAAGGAATATGAACACGAAAGCCCTGAGAATAAAGTCATAGTACCTGGGAATGCGGGTTCTCAGTGGACCCTAGTGTGACGGGCGGCACCCCAGCTCTGCAGCTGAGTCATGTGAACCCCCACAGAGTGTGACAGGCGGCACCCCAGCTCTGCAGCCGAGTCATGTGAACCCCCACAGAGTGTGACAGGCGGCACCCCAGCTCTGCAGCCGAGTCATGTGAACCCACAGAGTGTGACGGGCGGCACCCCAGCTCTGCAGCCGAGTCATGTGAACCCCCACAGAGTGTGACAAGCAGGACCCTAGCTCTGTAGCTGAGTAACATGCACCCATAGAGTGTGACAGGCAGGATCCACGCTCTGTGGCTGTGTAACACGCACTCCCACAGAATAACAGGCAGGACCCCAGCTCTGTAGCTGAGTAACACGCATGCATAGAGTGTAACAGGCAGCAGCCCAGCTCTGTAGCTGTGAAACACACACTCCCATAGAGTGTAATAGGCAGGACCCCCACTCTGTAGCTGGGTAACATGCACCCCCATAGAGTGTAACAGGTGGACCCCCACTCTGTAGCTGGGTAACATGCACCCCCATAGAGTGTAATAGGCAGGACCCCCACTCTGTAGCTGGGTAACATGCACCCCCATAGAGTGTAA